TCCTTTCGCGCGCTCCTAGCCCCCAGGATTTCGCGCGGCCATTTTTTTCTCGCGAATTTCTTTCGCGTCAAGCACGACGGACTAAGCGAAAGAGGGACTACTCGTAGTCTATATATTTTTCGACAAATGCGATCGTAGCTTTGTGTCACGCGCCGCCATAACTCTGAAATTTAAAATACGCTGGTTTCCAAACGAAGCGCGTTATTGAGCTGTAAAATTTAAAGAAATATAAATTTACCACCCTCTTATGTCTAATGGGTATAAGAACTTTGATGGCTCTTTGGTTTTCGATTTTAGAATATGATGACGTCACGTGAAGACGATCTATAGTCTCTTTGGGTCAAGCCATGTACCAAACTAAAATGCTTTTTTAAGCCTTTTATTTCGTCTAAATTCAGAGGTGGTGAGCTCTGTCACGAAGCATAAATTTAAAAAAACTCGTCAAAAATTCAGGTTTAACTTTCATCTAAATTTTACAAAGCCAAAAAAGCAGAGGGAAAAGGTCTTTTGATTTATTGGGTTAATCATTTTCTAGAACGCTTTCACTTTATAAACAAGAGCTTCCAGAAAATGCCCGATTTCGGCGCCAATTTAGGCTGCCGCGAGCCCACAAAAAAAAAAAAAAACCGCACAAAAAAATAACTTAAACTTATTCTGGCAAAGTTTGAGAAAATCGGTTTTCTTTCTATCTTGCATACCCTTGGTAGATCGTTAGAGCAAACTGCTCTATAAAAAAAGGCTTTTCATTATCATCTGAGGTTGTATTGCAGAGTCTCTGAAAATGTGGAAATACATTTTTGGCTCACAAAATTCACTTAAGTTGCCCAAAAGTTGTCCAAGGTCCCAAATGTTACTGAAAGTTGCGCACTATACAAAAAAAAAATGCTCAAAACTTCAAAAATTAACGTTGCTAAAAAGCAACCGAGCACAATCTATATATGCCTACTCCCGCCCAATTCGTAATAATTGTGTATCGGAAGTAATTTTAGAAAACGTATCCGGAAAGATTCTGTCAGGGATTGGTATCAAACGTGCTGTGCTTTCCATAGACATACCGGAACGGAAATTTCCTGGAAAAGTTTCCAAAATTACGTTGAAAACCGTTGAATTTCCTTAACGCGAACCACTAAAACGAAAATTCCAGAAATCTCAGGAGCAAAAATCAAATGGAAAAGAACTTTCCTGGAGTGAATTTCAAAACTTTGGGTATACCTTGCAAGGTTGTCCCAGTGAGTGCTGATGTTCCTTTGTTTTAACACCAAAGAAGGCATCTCCACAGCGTTGGAACCTTGTTATAAACACATCTACACTTCCTTTCCAGTTAGTTATCTTGAAAAATAATATACCACAAAATAGCAATTCTAAAATTAATGAAACTTTTCGCACCAATCCCTTGCAGAGCGAGTATAAGATCTGACTCCCTAATGTATTCATATCACTTTGACGTAACTAGCGGGCTCGAAGCGCCTTATCCTTTGCTCGCTCTAATAATTTGCTGCTTGGCGGATGAAGTTGCCCAAGCTCCGGCCGTTCAAGGCGTTGAGGCCGCCCAGACTGCAGTTCTTTCACCAACAGTTGTAGGTTTTTCCTTTCCTTTTTCTTCAAATCTTATACGAGCATAAAAGGGACTGCTGTTAATAGTTAGCTATTTCTAGATGTCGAATACTGCACAGGCCCCCACGATATGAGCAATAAGACGAATTTTTCAAAACCATTAAATGTCGCGGAGAAAAAGTGTATATCTAACAAGCCCACAAGAATCAAATTCTTACCTCCGACTAGCAGAGTAGTGTTTAGTGAGATGAGGAAATTATTCAGCGTTAGTAGATTCAATCTGAATTTGTGAAGAGCTTCATCTTCCTTAGTAACAGCATTGATAATCAGTGTCGCCTCCTCTGATCTGCTGATAGTGATGTGAGGTTCTAAGCCCTCCCTATAACTAGTTAGTC